AAAAATTTATTTTCAATAGCTTATCTGTTGCATGAACTGGGCAATGGAAAGACAGCTGCTCAGTGATATTTGTTAGTGATTGAGCTGTGTTTGCTCTGTCTTGCTGATTTATGAACAGGTTAAACTACTCCTAATATTCAATATTGGCTCGGCTAAGAATGACTTAAAAGTAGAGATACAGAACAAAGACAAATAGCAGCGGCAGTGGGGATCTCTTAACCTGCTCCCTGCGCTCACTATGCTATTCTTCCTCCAAGTATGTTCAGGACTACAGTAACTGATTTTTCTCTAGATGTGAGCATGTGATTTTACCTGTAACTGTTGGTATCTGACATTTCTGGAGAAAAAAAACGCTGAGATTTTTAGCAGGGTAATTGCAAGTGTGTTTCACTGGTGAAGGTGATGTGGTACTTCTCTGGAGTATGGTAACTTTCCTTTTCTCAGTAGGACAGAAGTGTTCAAGATCAAATTGCATCTTTAATTAAAATATATGAATTCCTGAGGGATAGGACTACAAGACTGCTTTCAAGATCTTGTAGCACCCTGCACTAACTGGAAGATCTATTTAATCTGACTTTGATTTATGTATGTTACCAATGTAAGCTGTTAGAGGGCTAAAAATCCTTAGCCAAACTTTGTTGATGTGTTTGAGGGTATGTTTGAGGTCCCTGTGATGGTACTCTCCTCTGTTTCTGAAGTCATGTTCACTCACGCTGTCCTAAGGAGATTAGGTTCCTGTGATTAACTAATGAGTAGGAACTCTTGGAGGTTTTGTTTTTATTCCATTCAATACAAAGCTGTACAGTCAGACTGCCTTCTCTAAACAGACTGTATTTGTAAGTTCATGCCTGAACATGATTTTCAGGGAGACTTGAGTATGAGCGAGCTTTCAGCTTTTCTGTGATGCGTCTCGGCTGCTGGTGCTGGGGAGAAGCTCAACGTAGATAGCAATTGCGTACAGCACCGTTTTTTGTATTTAAATGTCAGCAGTAATCCAAACAAAAGTGTACGGGTGTTGTTGAATTAGGTCCTGAAACTGTATTTTGAGTTAAAATCCATCTAAGCTTCGCATGTACCAAAGAAAGAAAATAGATGGGCTAACCTGGCAGTGTAATGAACTCTCGCAATTTAATGATGCAGAAAAGCAAGGCAGACATGTTTTGGAGGAAATTTCCAGCTAATTTTTGCATATTCAATCCTATTTTATCTTGAGATTTACATAAAAATAAATCTGACCATCCTTTTAAGGGTACTAGTCAGGATGTTAGCGAGTTTGGTAAGCTCACTTAATGAAAATTTGTAGAAGAGGTATATAAGTGCCAACAGGATGGCACCTTATCCTTTCACTCCTCCTTGCAACTCAGTTAATTTTATTATAATTTTTATTTTTATATCAGCATAGATGAAGAGCCAGAGAGTCTGGAAGTATGAACACATTTAGCATTTAGAAGGAAGCAACAGTGTATAAAATAAAGGCATTTTTTTCCCTCTTGTGGGCAGAGATCTGTTTTAGCTAGGAATATTAATCTCAGTATTTTATTATTCCTGTTTCTAGGACTCAGGTAGGCTTTTAATTAGCTTTTTACTCTGTCCTACAAGAGAATACAATGGAGATGCTTACATGGCTTCTAAACCCTTGGCTGGCCAAGGTTAACCTTATGGTGAGCCCTTCCGTTATTTGATTAATAAAAGTATCTTATACCTACTAAAAGACCCCCTTCCAGCCCTTAGCCAGCCCCTCCTCTCCTACGGTTGTCTTTGAGATGGCTCTAATTTTTCCCACCAATTTTCCTATTTCCCTGGATGCTCTGTAACAGCCAAACTTGCCCTTGTAAGCCCAGTTTAGAATTCTGCTTTTCATTACAGCGTAAAGCTGTAAAGCTTGGGGTGCAGCACAGTTTTGATCCTGTGTCTGAGGTGTGAGCAGCACTGTGCCGCAGAAATGCCAGAGGCATCAAAGCCTTACCGCTACCTCTCCTCATGGAATCTTTGCTCAGCATTTTATTTTCATTTCTGCTTTCAGTGAATACTTAGTGAGCTCTGATTACATAATTGAATTTGATAAACTGATGGTGTGTGATTGATGAGGAAGTCAGGAATAAAAGATTAGAAGATAAAATTACTTCAAGGGTTTAAGTAAATCTTCCAGAGAGTTGGGGTAATTTATAAAGCATGCTATATTCTTTATAAAAATATTCCTGTAGGTCTATTACATTTTAGCTTCTACCAGAATTGGATTGAGTTTTGAGAAGCATTTTCGTGTAATACCAGCTTGGTTGTGATACTTTAAATGGGAGACAGCTCTGAGTGGGTTGCAGCATCTCTGGGTTTGGAACATTTGAGTAGGAAATGTAGGGCTGAATGGCAGACTTGTGGGCAGCAGTCTGTCTTTCAAATAATTTTTTTCTTGAAAAGACATGTTAGAAGGAGTAAGTGGAAAATTCAGAGTGAAATAATGAAGGAGGTTATACTGCTTGAGTTTTTAAATCACTGAAAAACAAGATCAACAAATAACTGGTGTTGAGGTTTATAGTGCAGATACCACTTTCATTGTAAACTCCCTGAATGGCTCAACTTGTTCCAGGAAGGAATAGTTTCACAAGCTTATTTCATGACCCTTTATATACTCTCAGGTAAAGTAATTGTTTTCAGGGGGCTCAGAACTAATCATTTAAATTTACCAGTTGGACTCTGTTGCAACCCTTTCCCCAAAACACCAGCACAACTCCCTGCCGCTGTCTTTTCATCCCCAGAGGAAGGCTGACCCCCTTAATCTTGCAAGGGTAGACTGCCTGTCTCATAAGTCCTTTGGGAGACTCCCCAGAGCACATGTGCAAGCTCTGAATGGATTTAACATTTTCTCACTTGTTAAGAAATATCTTTGTAAAAATTTGCTTTTTGGTTTGGGCAAAATAACCGTTTTTATGCTCATGTCATCTAACTCGGATTTAAACTTTTCTCTATAAAGGTGTAAAATATTGGTTGATTTTACTAGTTAGGAGAAAACAGGAATTGAGATAATACTTCTTCACAGTACTTGTGGTTATTAAAAAATAAAGATTTACAGGCTATAATCTCAGTCATAGAGTGAAGTGCCAAGAACATCTTTGGTTTGCCTGGGACTATCTGCTAGTTGGGAACTGTTCCTGTTTCCTCATATTCTGAATTGTCATGGTTTCCTGTATATCCAGTTTAAAGAAAATATTAATGAGCTGCACTGGCCATTGAAGTGATTTGTTTGTAAAACAGTTGTTTAAAATGCTGCAAATCAGAAACCGCCCTTACCTCAAAATACATTTTTTTAATTCAGTTTGTTAGGTCAGACTTTGTGTAATAGTTTATAAGTGTTGCTGTAAGATGATGGGTTTTTTTTCCCTGCAGAAATCTGTGTCTTTCTGAAGTTAAATCCTAAGAACTAGGGAGTTGATTTGTCAATACAAAGCATCAAATGTGTATGCAGCTGATGTTCAATGTTACAGCCAACTGCAGCAAACAATTTGGCACCAGTCAACCTCTGACTCCTTGACCACTCTCAGCTGAAGCGTGGCCACCACCCTGGGCCGGTGTGATTTGGCTGATAATGGGTCAGGCTGCGTGTGGTTGGTTAAGTAAGAAAAGAGAGGTTGACATGGCCAGGCGGTGCTGCATACCCACTGCCTTGCCAACCTTGGGTGGAACACCATGAAAGCCACTGCCACCCCTTGCCTTCAGCTCCTCCTTCCCTAAAGTGTGTGGTTGCTGTCTTGTGACTATCAACTATTAAAGGTTGTAGTATGTGACCTGTGGATTCAAAGATTTCAGTCAGCCTTGAATAGTACATGTGGTCACTTCTCCATAAACTGTGAAAGATAGCTTAAACTCCTTAAAGAGCAAGTGTAAAAATACCTGAACTTAATCTAAAATACATTTAAAAAGAAGGATTAGCAATTTAGCTGAATGGTTAGTTGCACAGGGACAACATTTGTGTATTTTTTTCAAATTTTATACATCAAATACAGACACACTCTGGACTCCTAAAAAGCAGAGTGTAGTAATGTCTACCCATTAAGTATTATTCCATATTGTGTATTACATCTCTGACCTTCAGTGTGACTTGTGTATTTTATGTATATGCATAAACAAGTTAATTTTCATTATAGAAGGGATCTGTAAACTCCTAAGATTAAGTCTGTAGGTCCTGCATGGTTGCAATTAGAAATTTGGTGTGTAAAGTGTGAAAACCTTCATCTTCCAGAAGTGACAAGGGGGGAGTCTCCAACCAATGTAGACTTGTAATAAATCTGTGTTTGAGTGGAGCTTTGGCAATTTACCAGTTGAGAATTTTGCTGCTTGGGGTATTTTGAGCATTTGTGATCCACGGGAGAACAAGAGTTTGAGACTATGTGTGACCCTTGAACATTATTGAAGTACCCTAATTCAAAATCTGTTAGTGGTTTCAGGTTATGTAATTTAACACATTTTTGCTTGGCAATAACATTGAAAAACACATTAATCTTGCGATTTTGTGAGTTGTTTTTTTTCTAAACTCTTTTTTTCTATCAAAATTCTTCATTTGCCCTGAGACTTCTCCTGCTGTGATAATCATTTCTATCCAAGATTACTCTTCTGGTTTCTATTCAAGAAACCAAAAAAAAAAAGCTTCAAGTGGATTTAATCCTCACAGAGGAGAGGAATAAAAAAAGCCAGTAGGGCTGTTCACTGCCTGCCACAGTAGACAATGCTGAAATTCTCATATGTATAAACAGTAAACATGGACAAAAGCTTGTCTGAGTGCGCACTTCTCTTCTAAATAAGTACCAAGGATGAAGGTTATCAAGATGTTGAGAATTCTGCCTCTAAAGATAAAGCTTAGTTATGAATAGAACAGCCTTAACTGTGGAATCATGTTGTGTCTTGTTTTATGTTGGCCATTTTGGGAAGAAATGAGCTAAATACTGGTGGCTTATATGAAACTCACTTAAATAGCTTACAAACCCATTATCTGTCTCTCTCTATTTCAGATGATGTTGCACCATACTTCAAGACTGAACCAGGCTTGCCCCAGATACACTTGGAAGGAAATCGGCTCGTACTTACGTGCCTTGCAGAAGGCAGCTGGCCCTTGGAATTTAAGTGGTTACACAATGACAGTGAAATAACTGCCTACTCCAGTGAATATAAGTAAGTAAAAGCTATATAATACCTTTCTCTAAGTGGAATTGCAAAAAACCTCCAAACAAACACCCCTGCCAAAACCCCAATACCTCAAACCTTTTTTAAACAAACACCTCAAACCAGTGTGTTTTGATCATGACAGAAGACAGATTCTGTGAAGGAGTAAGATCTCTACGAGAGAATCTCCTTTCCTAAAAATGCTATTTCACCCTCCAAAACAAGGATACTTTGAACAAAGCTAAGCTCAATGGGACCATGCTTTTCAGTAAGATCTAGCAGAATGTGCTTTGTCTTAAACTGCATATCAAACTGACGATTTCTTCTGAGAACGCCAAAATGAATCTTATAGTTTAAGAAACTGTTCTTCTGTGATGATACAAAGAAGACTTTGCTCCCAGGACCTCACTGACTCCCTCCCCATTCCCCACAACATCCTGTCAAGCAAGAGAAAAACCATACTGTGGCTAAGCAGAGCTACGTTTTTGCTGACAGGCAGCAGATGGCTGGCCAAATATCGGAGTTTGCTCTCCTTTTCTTTAATGGGAGCATTAATTGGGTCCCCCTATGCAATTAGTAATTCTTATAAGATTTGTGACTTCAGAAGTAACAGGGCATGGGTATGTCAGAGAGCACTTGTATACCACTTGAGGTTTTAGCAAACCGAGGTAAACACTGCACTTTTAGAACTACGTTGCTCAAGGTAGGGAAAAGTGGTTCTCCATCACTATCAACAGAAATTACAGCATAGATTAGTATAAAAATGCAGATAATGGTGTAAAATTCTATGTTGTTGCATAAGCTAGTCCATAATTACTGTTCACAAAGATTTTCAAAACTGTAACCTAACATTAGTTCTTCTTTCCATATTATGTACGTTTACAGAGCAGGATGGAGGAAAAAAAAATCCTTAAATAGCATTTTAAAACTCTTATGGATCATTTAGCACATAAATTATTTAGCAACTATGTTTCTAACCAAACATGTAGTTCTATATGAACTTACCTAGAAATTACAGACTTTTGATTTAGTTGAGACCACTTAGTCCTGAGTAATTGCATCTATTAATGGTTGCTGTTTTCGAGCCCTGAGATACGCTGATACCTCAAAATGAGCCGTGCACACATAATGGGGTGTTGTTCAGTTTATAGAAGAGATTTGTGAATACTTGCTAGAAAATAAAAAAATCTCTAATAGCGCAATTAATCACAGAAGGTTTGAGCGTCACTTGGCGTAAATGCCTCTTGTTTTGATCAACAACAGCAGAGTCCATTGTAGCTTCTTGGTAGACGGAGCTGACAGCAGCTCCCAACCATGTAAGATGCTAAGAAGGTACGACAAAGGAATGGTGTGGGAGGACAAAACACGTGAACAGGGAAGGAACAAATAGCAGTGGTTAGAACTTGAGCTTTGCAGATGTGCTAGCCACTGAGAGACTGGCATTTCATGGTGCTAGGAGAAACCCGAGGAAGAACCTATGATATTTTGAAACTGAGGTTAGAATACCATGGTTATTTCTTAAATAAGTGCATACCCTAATGCAAAATTGTAGCTTACTGTGTGTTGCAGAAGAGGTTAGAATCCATGTGTTGGAACACCCTTCCCAAGGTGTGTGTTTACTTACATAGAGAACCTTGTTTCTTGTCATTGGATTTCATTTACTCTAGTGAATGTCAGGTCATGATACGAGCTACATTTATTGATTGTGTATTTTTTATATTCTTCTTGTTTCTATTTCTAATTGAAACATCTGCTGCAGAGGTGATCAAGAAGATAGGAAACTACTGGTTTATAATAGTAAAATAACATTGATAGAAAACACTAATTTAGAAGTTGCAGCCCTACTGCTACAGCTATACTGCAGTCAGAGATAAGCCCAACGAGATCTTGATTCTATAGAAATGCAAAGCTGTAAGCTTTCAAAAAGGATTATATGGCATAGGTGCATTAGGATGAATGAAAGCAAGGGAAAAATATGCTTAGACATAAAAATTCCAGTTGCAAAACTTAAACTTTGACCTCATAATAGTTTGCTCTGCATTTCTCTTGGGTAAATACTCTGTTTAAATGCATGAATCTTTCCTGTGTAAGTGACTTCTGCTGCAATTTGAATCATCAATCAAAGATTTCTGGTAATTGATATTACTTAGTGTGTCTCAGTTAAAGTAATGTCTATATTGTAACAGGCTGAAAATATTCAAAGCTTATTATTACACACCAAGTGAGTAAAAAACTAATTGGAGTCTTTGCATTTTGACATTGGTGACCCTGAATGAACAGCTTTTCTTTGTATAACGATGCTGATTATGTGCACAGCCTGGCTTTTAGAGTGACTGTGCATACACAAGTTTGTATTAAGAATTTATAAAACAACCTTATAAATTCTTTGTGATCCAAGATACATGTAATGAAAACACATCAATATTGCTGACTGCAGTAGCAATTTTGGTTATGTCTGTAAGTGAAGAGTTTTTAAAGTTCAGGCAGTGACTTTTTTCTTTGTTTCCTTTTGAATTAAGTTCTGGACCAGGTGTGTCTTCCATGTTTGTTTTTGTGGTCTGACAGTGTTAATTTATTTCAGTTTAAGAGACTAAGGTTATGTCTAAGCAGCAGTACGTTTTCCTCTCAAACTACATAAAGTATCTAATTATTATATTTGTGTTTTTAACGTTGGACACATTTAAATTTTATTCTGTATAAAAAAAGTTTGATCAATAGATGCCTAAGCCTCATGTTAAGAAGTTTGAGTAGATAATAAGTTATGTGACAGCCTAATAAAATACATTTAGTTTTAATTCTTTCTTCACTATTATGGCTGTTAAAAACCTGAAGCCTAGGTTTACCTTTAACTCTTACAGCATTTAAATTTAAAATTGTAAATTTGAAATGATGAATGAAACATAGGAAGCTTTAAGACAGCATTAATTAGCATTTCTCCTTGGGAGTTTGATACCACTCTAACTCATTGCAGTCCTGATGATGGAGCATGTTATGCTCTGGAAGACTTCCCTTGAAGCTTCCTTTTATGCTTGTCACTTTGCATCTTCCGTGAAAACTTTCTTGGCTGTACCACTCAAAACAGCGAAATAGGTCCGAGTTTCTAAAGCACCTGCACAGATCCCCAGAAACTCTAAGTAGCCTCCTGGCATCTGTACAAGATCTTCTGTCTTGAAAGTTAGTGTGGAGAAAAATAAAGCAAAATCATGTCTTGTCACTGTAAAAAATAGTATTAACCTTTGATATAAATTCATTTTGTGGAAGCAAGTCTTATTTTGTATTTAGAAAGCACTGTTTGTATCCCTTCTTGCATATCAGAAAATAAGTAGAATAGTGAAAGCATAGCACAGAACCCAGTCTTTTGACTGTTGGGTCAATAGAAAAGTATATTACAAAAAAAACCAAAACAAAACAGGCCTATTAGGTGCACAAAGACTGTTAAAAATTCTAATGCAGAATTAGAAATTCGATTAATATCTGTTTATCTCTTGTCAGCGTTTTTTAATTTTAAAGTTAGTCTCAAATAATCTAAACATGTATTCTAGCCTTTTTTTTTTTTTCTACTTTTGTTATTTAATTCTTTACTTCTGCTCTCCTTACCTGCACGTTACCCAGTAGGTCCACTGAGAAGCCAACTACTTAGTAGGTGTAGGCTTTCTTGGAATTTCCAAGGTAGATGGGATTTTCACTGTAAAATTTTAAAAGATTTTCTTTTCTTCAGGCAACATATTAAGAATATTCCCTGCTGACACATTAGTAAGTCAGAAAAGAAAGCCAGAATTGGACACTTCTGATCTAGTTCATTTGCTTTGTCCTGTGGTGGGACAACTCTCTGCATTACTGTCCCAGTACAGATGAATCCCTAAGAAACCTTTAATTTTGGCTGTATTTAATAGGCAAGCACAGTTATAAATGTTAGAAAAGTACAATACTAAATCTTTATGGAGGGAAGAAGTGCTTGTTAAGCTATAAACTATCTGGTAACAGGAAATGTAGAAATTAATTGTCAATATTTATTTGTTAGAATATTTTTGTTGTTGTTACTGGTGTGTTGCAACGATCATCTGCCTGGCAGAGAAGGACATTAATCTGTAAGGAACTAGGGAAGCCTTATGTCCTATCTATTTTTATCCTATGGCTTGTATTTTCACCTATTTTGTCACTCCATTTCTTATGGCAACTCATCAGGCAGGAGGCAACATGGCTAAATTAGAATTATATACTCGCTGACCAGCAAGTATTTGTGTGCTGGTTGTTGGGTTTACTACTCCCAAACAGAGCACTGTTTTGAGGCTGCCTTATCTTCCCAGTACAAATTGTCATATCACTGGAGAGAACTTCCTGACTGCTCCGAAGGCGGTCAGGAGGAGTCAGCTTAGGCACACAGGCAGGCAGACAATACAATTGCCTACAGGTCGTGTACTTAGGAACCTGGGTCTCCTAGGCATTACAGTAGATTGCTAAAATTGGTCCATAGTGTTTGGCACTGTTTTAATTCTGGGACAGGTTGCCCAGAGATGTTGTGGATGCCCCATCCCTGGAAGTGTCCAAGGCCAGGCTGGATGTGGCTTTGAGCAACCTGGTCTAGTGCAGGGTGTCCCTGCCCATGGCAGGGGGCTTGGAACTAGATGATCTTTAAGGTCCCTTCCAACCCAAACCCGTCTGTGATTCTATGATTTGGTTGTCTGACCTATTTGCTATAGTGCATTTGATTGTAATTATAATGCAGTGATTATAGTCTTCATTTATCACGTAAACTGGATTCCTTCTACCTCCTTTGTTTTTATGCTGTCTGATCCTGTTCAGATATTAAGCTCTGTATGTGGGTGTGTATAGAATATGTGAGTATGAGAGGAGATGCTTTCCTTTAGCGGAATTAAATTTTGAAGATTAAAGTTCAGCAGTTTTATTTTTCCTTATCTTTTCATAAAGACTTTCATTAATCCTACCATAATATCTCCAGAAGGTGACCGGGGGAATATGCGCTTTGATTAATGTTTGTTTAATGCAGGATTATCTATATTATTCATGTGTTTTATTCACATTAAAACTGTGCCTATCAGCTCATTTTCATGTTGAGTAATCAGATATAGTTGAATGAGGAAGGTGAGCATTAGTGGACTAAGTGACTTTTTAAGCATCCTGAAGGGCAGAACAAATAGACCATACAGTGTACTCTCTTGTCCAGGATTCTTTGGAGTTCTGGTGGTGGCAGCACAGTGCAGTGACCATCTTTTCCTTGGAAAGCTTTGATATTTCTTGCAAGTCTTCCCAGTGCCTACATTTAGATTGCAGCCTTCCTGTGCCACCTCTGAACACATCATCAGCCATCTTTGCCTTGTGAATGAGGGTGGCTAAAACGAAGGGAAACATTTAAGTCTATATTTCAGGAGAATCTGTGGAGAACTAATTAGTGTTCATCAAATGTAGATCATAAAACTGAAAGATATTTTATGCCTTTCAAGTATTTTTTTTCTTCTATATAGAACAGACAGTATTGTAGCCAAAGATCAGGGATTGTAAGAGCAAGCTGTTTGGCTGCAAGAAAAAACACCATAAGCGTTTGAGACAATGTGTAAAATATTAGAGGAGAAATAAGAAATGCCACCTAAAGTAGCGTTGATCTGCCTTTAGGAAGAAGTACACTCTCATTCCATATTTTGTCTTACAGATACATCATTCCAGCTTTGCAGAGGGCGGATGCTGGCGTTTATCAGTGTGTTGTACGGAACAGGATGGGGGCGTTGCTGCAAAGAAGATCCGAAGTTCACGTGGCGTGTAGGTTTGAATGGAAGTTACTCTGTGACTCGTTAGCTAACCTATTGTTTGGGGGGATAAAAAAGCAACATACCAATAACATTTGCTAGTCAGAAAAGTTATTAGATATCATATGTAATAAACTTTAAAATGATGGCATCACAAGCAGTTTCACACTTCCTCCAGTTATCTTTTGGGAAACACTTCTAAGCAGTGCAACGTTACGTTTTTACAGCAAGCTTGGAGACAGCTGTAGCATGAGAAAACTATTCTACCTTTCCCTAAATATGCAGGGATTAAGAAAGGCCAAATAGCACCAACCCAAAAAATCAATCAAAACAACAACAGAAAGCCCAGAGGACAGCAGAGGAGATCTGAAAGAAGACCATATGGTGGGGAGAGCTCCATGAAGATTTCTGATTGTAATCCTTGTGCTGCAAAATAAGCAGTTGTTTGACAATGAAAACCTTGCTAACGAAACTTTAAAAGTCTGTTCTCAACACGTTTCTGAACCAAACTCTCCAGTGTTTTTACAGCTTTAGTTTGGATTATGCAGAATTTTTGAGTTGACATCTGATTTGCTACCTCACTTCTATTTGGAAATATTAAATTGAATTTCTCAGGAGTTAATGCTAGTTAGCATGACTGAAGAAATGATTACATACTGTAATTTTATTTCTTTCCGTTAATATATAGAAAATATAATCCAAGTAACTTGTTTGGAAATAATAATAAAATTAGGCTTAACACTTTTATCAAAGTAAAAACAAAACATGAAAATTTGCAAAAAAGACAGGTTTGTACACTGTGTGTAAGAAATCTGATACATGGATCACACTTCCCTTCGTCAGGGTCAATAACTGGAAATTCAGTAGAAGTAAATGTCACTTGATAAGTGGAATTTAGATAAATTGAGTTATCCATTAGGAATCCAATTCCAAGGAACTGATTCAGATTAATCACTGTGTCATGAGGGAAATTACATAAAATTTCCTGTGTTTTAAAATCAAACCAGTTGCAAATGATACCCTCTAAGTTTTGGAACCATGTTCACCAGATTACTGTATTACAGTAAATTGTGTTACTCTATCTGTAATGTCAGTAATATCAGTAATTTGATGTTTGATCTCTCGGTGGTATTGCTTCAGTGGTATTCCCTTGAAAAACTTGCCTGTGCAGCTGTGGTCTGGAAAACTCCAAAACTAAAAAGAAGCATTAATTATTTTGCCAAGTTTGTTGAAATAGTTCTTTTCTCCCCTCACCCGATTCCCCACACAGCTGTACAGGTGGTTCTAGTGGCACAGCGGAGGGAGCAATTCTTGAGGAATTACTTGTGGGAACGATAGTGAGAAGGAGGCACAGGAATACCTTACCTTGCTACTTCTTCTGAAGAATTTTGTCTCCTGAAAAGACAGCCTTATTCCCCTCTGAATGAGGGGAAGATTTGCAGTGAAGTGGTCTGTTTCTCCAGGCTTTTTTGTGTGTGTGTGTTTGTTCTTGAGAAAGAAAGAAGTGTAATTGTTTACTTCAGTTTTAATTTTCCCCCCCTTTTTAATTTGTAGTTATGCATTGCTGAACAAGGCTAAAAAGCTCTCTCAAGATTTCCCTGTCTGAATTAAGCAGTCAATTTATTTATTTGTTATCAGTGAGAAAGACTTTGAGGCAGAACAAAGTGGACCTTGTATGACTTGGGAGACCTTTGGTCTTGAACCTATAGTGGTCTATATGGCTTCTAGAGTGAAACTTGTCAGTCAGGCTTGCACTTCATTCCCGCGGATTAGGGTGTTTTACAAGTTTTAATTAATCCCTTTCTCCTCTACCCAGGGTAGCTACTGGTGCCACGTGATTGTTTTTCTGTGTTTTAACATTTCTGCTCTAAAGTAATTGATTTAAGCTGTGTGGACATAATGAAGTACCTGTACTTTATCGTCGTTTACTTTTGGGTTATTGTGGAAAACACTGGAAGCAGCATTCCAAGAGGTTACTAAAGTCATCCAGTCCTCAAGGGTTATGGGGAACTGTGTGTTCGATGTTCAGCTCAGAAGCGTTCACGGGAAACAACCTATTTTTGCCACTGGTGAGAGGATGCTTCCCAATAAACTAAAACTCAAGATCTGTAGTGAAAAAATGAAAGGCACGATTATAATTTGCATTGAGAAAGATCTGAGGTATTTCCCATGTCCTAGATCTCTGAAGTAGCAGGGAACTTGTTAAATAATTAAAAAAACGTTCTCAGTGCATGCTGACGTACCACTTAACTGGATGGGAACAGATATTTGTGGGAAAACGGTGGAGTAAATCTTAGTTACAGAATGGGCTTAGAAGCTCTTGGATTGTGAAGACTAAAATAATCGTAAGACGGTGAAGTTAATTAGATCCACCTACATGGTTTGAAACTTCAAGTAGATGATCTGATTACAGTTGTAAGAAATATGGAGCAGCACAGGAAGTACAATGCTGATTATGTCTGAATAAATAACTTGAAAATCACAAGGATGATTAAAGCTTCTTTAAAATACCATGTGTTTTTAACTTCTGGTCTTGTTACATCTCTTCTCATCTCCTGCCATCCACAGACCTGCTAGTAGTCTTCTGTGTTTCAATGTCCTTTGCATCCTTCTCTGCAGCAGAGAACTTGAAGAACCCTGTGGTCCTCAAAAAAAAAAAAATCATAATTCAATAGCAGAAACCAGAGTAGTTCTGTGCGTCCATCAGTTTCTTGGTTTAAAGCAAATTAAAATGCATAGAAGTTCTTTGGAGGGTGAATAAGTAGGAGCCTACAGCCCTGTTTATTTTAATGGATAGGAATGTGATGCAAAAGGCAAAAGAAGAAAAACAAGAGTGAAACGTTCACTGAGGTTTTTACAAGGGCTCTGTAGATGTATGAACTTGTCTGTGAAATAAAACCTTCAGAGACAGAGGTTCTGCAATTCTATTTTTCCTTCTTCCATTAAAATTTTTGTTAAAAGCTGCTCTTTAATACTACTGATGCCTTTGTAAATGTCAGAGATCTAGATGCACTATTTAAATTGTAGTTCAGTGCCAGAAGAACTAATAGCTACCAACATGACTATAGCCCTGCTGCTTTGACATCCGTGTGGGTGTAGTGGCTTACCCTCGCAGACCTGACTGTACAGGGGATTGACTGCAAGTGATACAGCTGCTGGGCTCTTTGTGAGGCTGTCGATAAAAGGATTTAAAAAAAAAAAAATTGGTGACCAAAAAATTCATAAAATCATATACACCATTTGCATTCCTTTCTGTTGCACAGGAATTTCTTTTATCTTGTGCAAGATAAAAGAATGTTTCTTGTTTGTTTCTTGTTTCTTTATTTAAAACAAACTGAACCAGACCTCCATTAAAATGTCACTTTCAGTTATAAACAGGCTCTTGCTGCAGAAGCACGCGAGGCTGTGCAGTGCTGCTGACTGGTGTACTTCTTGTGTGCTCTAGCAGCGCTTGACTTCGCCTTATGCTCATCCAAACCTGTGTTGATCAACACCGTCTCATGATCTGTAGTGTCATATTGACCAATTACCAGTGCCAGTGACTGTGGTAAAACACGGTTGTTTCTGTATTGACTGAAAAGAAATGGGGAGAGAGACAAGAACTTCCGCCACTCTTAGTGTAATTGTTTTCTTTGCAGACATGGGGAATTTCGTGGACGCAAACCAGAGAAAAACAGTGACTCAAGGGCAAGCTGCAGTGCTCGACGTCCTACACATACTCAGCTATCCAAGACCACAAGTGACATGGTTTAGAGACGGGCACAAGATTATACCAAGCAGCAGAATGTGAGTCAATCTAAAGCTCAAAATACCCCCACCCTAAACTATGATTAATTGCATTTGATAACGCAACTTACATTTTAAGTACACTAATTAAGGTTTAAAGAGAATAAAGTAGCCTTGTTCATACTAAGTTTGAGATAAATGACTATTTTAAGATCATCTCTGAACTTTCTAAGCAGTTTGACAAAATAATTCATGTGATTTTAATGGTCCTGGTGCAGCATAAGGGAGTAGATACGCAGGATGTCTGCATTTCCTTCACGCTATTCATTTTCATGATACATTTTGGAAAAGGAAATGCTCATCTCTCAATTATGTTTACTTGAGTGAACTGACTTAATGAATACTGGAATTTTTCTTTTCTAATATGAGTCTGATTTTTTTTTTGTACATGGAATTATGCTTAATACTATTTTCCTCATGATAAATTTCTAAATATTGCTTATTTTTCCCTTATCTTTTTAGCCTACAATGACAGTTTTATATCTTTTTGACTAATTAGCAGCTCACCCACTAATGGCACAGCACTTTGATTAGTTATTATTGGAAGGTGTGCTCATTTATCCTTTCCTGAAACAGTTATGAAGCCATCCTGTGCTTTTACCTGCACAGTTTTATTTAGACACTGAAGTGGTTTGCTGTAACATTAAAAAAAATAGATAAAATCTTTTTTTACTTGCCTAATTTATTTGGAACCTGTTAAAATGCCAAGAATGTTGGTGGATATTTTTGTCTGTGGATTATATTTTCATGTGTTCAAAGGGATAGATGTACCGATGCAACTGATGGGTAATGGGATATTGCCAAGTTCCAGAAGGGGTGGTGAGACTTTGGAGTTTGTATTAGAAAAAGAAAATTCTTCTTGGTTTTTAACTGTATTAATCTGTACTGTGTATTTTCCTGCTGCTTATGTGCACTTTTTAAACCTGAAAGCTTGTACTACAGGCTCTTTGAAACTGTAAAAATTAGTATTGCAGGGATGTGAAGCAACTATGTAATAATTTATGAATAATTTAATAGTAATTTGATGGGAAACAAGCTGGAAGATGAAACAATGGGTTTCTGGGCAACCTCTTGAAGAGAGCTAAGTGACAAATCCTGAGTCATTAGCCGTTCAGAATCTACTTCCTCCACTTCTGCCACATTACAAATTTTCTTTTGTCAGTGCTGAGAATGCAGAAACCAAAAATTTGCAGATGGTGAAAAAGCCTTGTTATCCAGTTATCGGACAGTTTGTTGGGAACTCTTATTGGGTATCAGAACACAGAGACCTAGGCAAACATGTTATGTTTTGTGCGAGTTCTCTTACAGTCTGGGAAAATTGCAACTAGAGGTACGTGTGTCATCTGTTCATTAATATAAAATCCTAATTTTCATATGCTGTGCTTACTCCTACCCTTTTGGGATTATTGGGGTAAAATCACTTGTAATTCATAGCACTGTGTTAGTGTTTACAAATGGGAAAACTGTAGAAGTCTGTTCTGCAGCAGGGGTCAAATATACGTAAAGGTTTCCACATATATTTTGTTTCCCCAGTCAGAAATTTTGGCTGAAAGGAATTTGTGGTCATTTGTCTGGCCTGTGTAGGAATTTCTAAACGCTTTTGCAGTAGAAGTACACGTGCTGAAAGTGTGAACTTCCTTGGACATTCGATATATGTATCATATAGTAAGCCTGATAGGCCAGGAAGTGGCAGATTTACGGTACACATACCAGTCATCGCTGGACTCTGCACTGGGTCTGCTGTTCCCTCAGAGTGTTGGAAAAAACGTAGAGCATATACACACATATTGCTGCCTGAACTGAAATTCTGGGTGTAAATATGGCAGCCCTGATGATACAGGAAACCTGGGACATGGGGAGGATGCATATGAAACTGTGAGAAATGCAGAAATATCTGATGGGAGCTTTGTTTCTTATCTATGGAGCAAGTAGTGCGTTTAACATCATGTTTTCTGTACGCAAAGAGCTGTATCAATTTAACTGATCCGTTTAGCAGGTGATCCAGTTAGATCATCCATCAGTCTAACTGGATCACCTGCTAAACTGATCAGTTAAATTGATACACCTTCCCTGTATGGATGCTCTTTAAACTGATTAAAAGTACCTTATATTGCTAAATCAATAGAAAGCTTTTTTAATCCTCTTAAACAAGCTTACAATGATTTGGCCAAATCAATCAGCTAGTCTGTCAGCTGTAATAATGATTTCTAAGACTGACATTGCTGCAGACTGAGGAAATAAGCAGTGTTAAAAATGAGGACAATAGTAGCAGTTACGCTATTCACTAATTTCTCATTAGTGCCTGTTGAATACAGATGAAGTTGGCATTGCCCAATATTTTATGTAGCAACTTTAAAAAAAACCCAATTAATTAAAAATAGATTATCAGGAGTTTTTACTCAGGCAAATCCTTGATACACGTGTCCTTAACACTGCACCATTTTTATGTCGTAATAATGAGCCAGATGCTTATTTACACCAGGCTGCTGTCACCACGAGAATGAATTCTTGTCACTGATGTGGAAATAGCGTGCTGGATTGTCCTTATGTGAGAAATATGAAAGATCAGAAGAATGAGTTGTTCTGAGGAAAAAAATAATTCTTAAGGTGTTTCAAGGCATGTAATTTAATTGGCTCTGCATTAGGGTTTCCCTACTAGGTTTAAGGCAATAAATGCTGATGTTTTTCACTGTTTACTAGCATTTAGGACATTTATGGGATCACACCAGAGCAGGTCTTCCTGAATTCCGTTGACCAGGTGTAACATCTGTGTGACTTCCTGTTTCTCTGACTGATCATTAGGCTGAAAAGTAGCAGCTATTTACGCTGGAGGGGAAAAAAAAAAAAAGTTCAGATTGTTCTACCTTTTTTTAGTCAGAACAGTAATTCTGCCCTGTGAGAGTGCATGGCTGTGAGAGAGTGCATGGCTGTTTTTCTGGGAGAAAGTTGGCTTTGAGACAAAGGCAATTCTTTTTCCAACTGCATATTCTGTTTAACTGGTGTGTAACTCATGGTGGAATTTTGCAGCAAATAACTATGTATTAATTCCCACTTTAGTAGTGTTGGTGCCATAATAGTTTGTTAGAGCCCCAGATAAAAAGAAGAATAGTACAACAAGTTCCTCCTAAATAAGTGGGTATGTAAAGTCAACAAATCCCCGTATGATACATGGATGTGGAGCAAATGGCCTGCGTATACTCATGGGGTTGTCACTACAGTTTATGACTTAAGGCAGCTAACAAATCTGCAGCAGAGTTAGTGCGACGTGATGGTGTGGATTTAAAAATTTAAATCCTAAAACTTTCTCCCCCTCTGCTTAGCACAGTGTGCGTGCATATTCACTTTGGCCGTTGTGCGCTGTCTGTCACCAAGCCTTAGGTGGATATTTTAAAGGAGTGTTTCTAGATCATCAGGAGGAGGCTGTGCGCGTGCTAGAAGAGTATGAAGGAGAAAATAAGCAAGGAGAGGAATTAGGGGTTGGAATGGTTTTTTTATTATCTTACATGAAAATTTCCCAAGAATTTTTAGAATAGACTTCACATTACATGTAGACAGATGAATGTTTCCCAGATGAACCAGTAGACTAATGTGGAATTACAACTGCACTATTATCCAGTGTCTTGACTGATGGGCTGATTTTGCTTGTTTCCCCTCACATCTCAGAAAACAATAGCCTCTCTAAAGGTAACTGCATCAAAAGAAATTGCTACTCTGAGATGTCAAGTCTTCAGCTTGCCTTGCCTGGGTGTACTTCATCAGACTTAAAAGCAGAGCGCATTTAACTTTCTTTACACGAGGCGTGTACGGTACCGTGGAGAGGCACAAAGGACAGTAGCACTGTCAAGGTCTGCAATTGCCTTTCTGTTGTGGTATTGAGGAATTAAATTCTTAGTACTCTTAGTGGATGTTTCTACTTTTTTCTAAGGGAAGGACCTTTTCACTGAAAAGGTTCACTCCAGCCATCAATTCATTCATTGTTGGTTTCTTTTTTAAGAAGAAAATTTCCACTATGAAGACATTATTACTGTCTTCATTAACTTTCTTTATAGTGAAACTATTTTTTCCCCTAGTAAGCTGCAGTTAGATGAATATTAACTCATGTTTCTTGTTAGTGGAATTATGTCTGACACAAACCAGAATTTTTTTTTTTTTTTAGCCTATAAAGGCACTTCTGCGGTGTTCCTTTCAGCTGGGTGCATGTTTTGTCACTTATTTAACTGTTAATGAACCAAAACATTTTACAAATGCTCTTGTATTGGGTTTTCACAGCAAGGTTTTGGTATTGGGGAGGGCACAGGGGGGGCCTTCTGTGAGAGGCTGCGAGAAGCTTCCCCTACATCCAACAGAGCCAATGCAGCCGGCTCCAAGACAGACCCCCTGCTCCCCAAGGCCATCAGGGATAGTGGTAGAGCCTCTGGGATAACGTAATTAAGAAGGGGAAAAAGGAAAACTTCACAACTGCAGCAAGAGAGAGGAGTGAGAACATACGAGAGCAACAACCCTGCCAACCCCCAGGTCAGTGGAGAAGGAGGGGAGCAGGTGCTCCAGGTGCCGGAGCAGAGGTTCCCCGGCAGCCCATGGTGAGGCCGGCTGTGCCCTGCAGCCATGGAGGGTCACGGGGGGAGCAGAGACCCCCCTGCAGCCCAGGGAGGACCCCACACCGGAGCAGGGGGATGCCTGAAGGGTCTCCACAGTTTGTGGAGAACTGCAGCCCCTGGGAACAATTCATGCTGGAGAAGTTGGAGGACTGTTTCCCATGGGAGGGACCCCACTCTGGAGCAGGGGCAGAGTGTGGGGATTCTCGCCTAAACAGGAAGGAGCGTCAGAGACAATGTGTGATGGACTGGCCACATCCCCCATTCCCTGTCCCCTTGAGCCGCTTGGGGAGAGGAGGCAGAGAAATGGGGAGCTAAGCTGAGCCTGAGACGAAGTGAGAGAGGTGGGGGTGTTCTTAAGATTTGGTTTTAGTTCGCTTTTACTCTGATTTGATTGGCGATAAA